GATAACCTGCTAACTCTGTATCTGGCATCTTCTTTAGTGACAACACCACACACTACTGATCATTGTTGAATGCATTTTTAAACAAGTCTTTTAAGAGCATTTTTTACCTCCTGATTTCTTAAACTGTAGATCAGTGGGTTTAGCACAGGAATCACCATTACATAGAAGACTGAAGCAAATTTGTCTTTGTCCAGTGAATGGCTTGACTTGGGCTGTAGGTACATAAAGATCAAGGTCCCATAGTAGAGAGTAAGAGAAAATAAGTGAGAAGCACAAGTAGAAGTGGCTTTCTTTTTTCCTTCAGTAGAGTGGATCCTCAGAATGGCAAAGAGAATGCAGACATAGGACATGAGAACAATGAAGAGAGAACAAAGCAGGTTGAATCCAGCAATACTTAACAACATCAGCTCTTTCACATGTGTATCAGAACAGGCCAGAGCAATCAAGGGGACATCATCACAGTAGAACTGATTGACCACATTGTCATCACAGAAAGACATGTGGAATGTAGCCACTGCCTGCACAACGCCCACAGAAACTCCATAAATATATGTGCTAGTGACCATTTGAATACAGAGTTTCCTAGGCATGAGAACTACATAGAGTAAGGGGTTGCAGATGGCCATGTATCGATCATATGCCATGATGGAAAGTAGTAATAACTCCCAAACTGAAAACATGATGAAGCAACACACCTGAGTGGCACATGCATAATATGATATGGTTTTGATTTCACGCAAAATGTTCAGCAAGGTGTTTGGGGTAACAGAGGAGGTGCCATAAAAATCACTAAAAGCCAGATGGCAGAGGAAAAAATACATGGGTGTGTGAAGCTGAGGACTGATTTGGATTAGGACAATCAAACCTAGATTACCCATGATGGTAACTAAATAGATAACAAGGAAGACACCGAAGAGAATGGCTTGAAGCTCTGGGTTATCTGTGAGTCCTAAGAGGATGAACTCAGACACTGCTGAATAATTGCCTTTGGCCATGGAATAGATAAATTGCTCTACAAGCAACCTCAGCGAAAAATCTGATTAATTCTGGTTCTGTAGGAAATGATCGATTTACACTTGGAAGTATGACAGTGGTTCATCAGGTCACTGTATTAGATTCAGTTGAAGGAGAATCCTATTATATTGGGGTATTACTTCTGTGGTCATTGTGAAGAGATTTGATCCAGATAGAAATTCCAATCCTCTGGAGAATTGTAAGAGAAGAAAGATAGTGCTTCAATTAAAACTTACTACCAATAGAACAGCAAAATCTATGTTGTATTTTCTTTAAAAATAAGAATAAAAGATTGCA